GGCTACCCAGAATGGGCACTAAAAGAGGGGGATAACAACATCACAAACGGGAAAAAGAGGAATAAAGACCGCACCTCCGTAAACAAAGAGCGACACCCTGCGAGTTACGCAGTACTCCCCTACATCAAAGGAGTCACTGAGAGACTGAAACGGGCTTACGCCAAGCACAACGTGAGTCTGTTCTCTAAACCAGGCTATACACTGCGCAATGCCCTTGTCAGTCCAAAAGACCCACTACTTCCCAGTGAAAAGTGTGGTACTGTTTACAAAATATCGTGTGAGATGTGTGGTGAGGTGTATGTAGGTGAAACCGAAAGGTCCCTAGGTGAACGAACTGACGAACATCAGAAATCTGTAGACCGTCAGGACGGTAAATCCGCACTTAGCCAACATGAACTCAAAGCGGGACATAGGGTCACAAACGGCCCTATTTTGGACATCGTTAAGATTATAGACCAGGAATCCCGGAAGTCACATAGAAAGATTAAGGAAGCGGTCCATATCCAGTTGGAACGTGCCGGGATGAATCGCAACGAAGGTTGGGAGCTGCCCAAGTCCTACCTACCCCTACTCCGCAAGGAGGCGGGGGAGGTCAGAAGATCCACACAAGTCTCGACCTAGTCTCGTGTTCTCGCGAGACTAGGTCACTCCTTGAGAAAGGTGTACAGTCGACACCGAAAATTTGGAGGTACGTGTTTTTACCTTTAAATACAGTCACTGATTGAAGAATTTCTACTAACTATTCATAATTTTGTAGCAAGATTCATTTAAAGCGTGACATATTATAGTTAACGTTATACCATTCAACTTTAGCCACAGTGTGTGAAAATGCAGAATATTCAGCGATTGTTTTGCATTGCTGGGATTACTCTAGAATGAAATTTGTAACCGAGGAATTTTAGGCATGTAAACTTTTAGACAAGTAACAATTTAGTTATTATTATAAGAACGCAACGTTGATTACCGAGATACTAGATATCAAAATATAAGCACAACATATTTGGACTGAGATCCTAAAAAAGGCCTGTGTAAATTGTTCAGTGTGATAGAACTGCAAGATGTAAAAAAAATTGTATATTAGTTCTACGAAGAACAGGCAAGCATCACCTGATGTCAACAGAAGTTTTCAACAATCTGAACTGGATTTTTGTAGTATTTAAGCGAAGGTGACTTGGCTTCAACTTTGCAACTAGTCCTCAAGATAACGTCACATCACTGGTTAACTCCAAAAGAAACCGCCAGGACCACATGGCCCTTCTGTGTCCCACAAGTGTGGTCAACACCTCTCAGAGTTTCCCCATGTTTTGACAACAACCTGTTCTCTCAGAGGGTCAACAACTGCTGGAGAGTCTTCAGGACTTGTCTTGAGCACAGTTAAACTATGGGTTAGAAGAAAGGCTGTAATTCATGCGTGTGTGTAGCAGTACATCTGTACAAACAGTGTACAAAAGAAGGGAGTTGTGAGGAATGTAAGGCTTACATGTTGAAGAAATTGCAGATAGAATTTCATGCATTATTGCATAACGGTCCATGGGGGTCCTTGGCTTAAACTTCAAAGGCAGGCAGACTTTTGAAGACGTTTTTTTCCCCTACATGTGTGCAGTGAACTGTAGAGAAAGACATGGACAGCAGATGTGTAGAAGTCAGTACAACATGTTTGGCTGATAGGAACATTGGACCTTGTACTTAGTATCTAGTTTTGTAAATTGTAGTACCAATGCACTCAGGTCGACCATGGTACACCTTCCCCCCTAGCCTACACAACCATGGACTACATATAGTATTAGTAGGGAGATGTCCAACATAATACTAGTAGCTCAAATTTTTTGAAACACAGTTCTCAGCCATGTTTGTTTACATTCTAGTAGTTTGTGGTGGCACCACAAACTGAGTGCACCTTGTGTGGGCTGTTTTAGCGTCAAGCATAAATGTCAGAAATGTGAGATAATTGCACAAATACATGTATGTTGTGAATTACAATATTTTCTAATCAATTAATAATAATACATTTCAATTTTTGCTGAAAAGAATGTTACATACTGCCCCTTTAATAGGCCATTGAGTGTACATTGTACATACACTTCACACCTGTGCTTATTACTGTTTTATTGTGCTTGCCTCTTTGAGCAAAGATCATAAAATTGTCTCCATTGCTTCCAATCTGAATGTTTAACATTTTTTGTTCCTATGATCTGATTTTCAACATAGTTAAATAATACCAGTCTGGAATCCTTTTTTGTTGAATGGCTAGCCATTAAAACTATTTGTGTAGTGTCCTGTTGACAAGAAGTTTGCCAATTACACGCTTTTCAAATATTGTAGACACTTCTCAAATATTGTAAATCCAAGCCCTTTCAAGTGCCGAGAGGCTTGTATTAGCCTACCTGTCCATGTTCTGTTGATATTAGTGTTTGGGGTAGAACTCAAGCATGGCTGACGTATGGGAACATACCAAATGGGAGGGGCACAAGTGTTCTTTGTGGAAATTTCATGAATGAACAATAGTCTCAAGTAATTGCCACTGACCTCTTATGCCTTGCTTTTTGTTGGGAAAACAAGAGTTGAATGTACTTACATGTAATATATGTAAGTATATTAGTCAGCATATTTGAAATCCAGCTCATTTAATATGATATTTGATAGCCTTAGAATGATTAGTTGACAACGGAATGCATGATGAATAATTAATTGACAACAAATTGTATTAAACGTTTCTTGTTGCCATGATAGTAACTGATAATGCAGCTACAAAAATTGTATTATTAATTCTTCTTTAGGTGTTATTTGACACCTTTTCTTGGTCAAATGTAAATTCATTGCTGGTACATGTATCATGGAGTGAAAAAAACTCTAACTTTTATACTCTGATAATTGTTTAGTGAAGACTGTTTAATGAAATGAAATGAAAGAAATGATAAATTCTTAATTTTACCCATGTGTAACTTCCCCCACCCATCTCGATCCATAGATGCCAAGAAGTGGGGACAAAGACCTGTCTTCAAATATACTGGCCAACCAAGAACTTGTGAGCATTATACATGGCAGATAACCCTCGCATGTACCTGTGAACTGTTATTAAAACCTTGTTTGATGTGTGTTGGATTTGTCCTTATGTTTATATCATAATTCTTTTATATATATTCCTCCATCCTTCTTCTATCCTGTACCTCCCCATTTCATCAAATTAATAACTGTTACTGAATCATCTATGACTGCATGAAATTGTGAGAATGCAAAAGGTTATTCATAATATTAGTCTATTTGTATACTAACTTTATATATTGATATTGACTAACTTGATTTATTGAAGTTGATATTGACTGAAAACCTCTCTCTCTCTGTTTCAGCTAAAAATTCCATAACTTTTCACAACTACTAACTTTCAGATGTGCTAGTGAGCTTCCTATTCTTCTAAATGCATGATCTCCAAGGAGAACCAACCATTTGGGATGGATGTACAATGTAACATGTGTTATGTTTGCTCTTAATCCTTTGGACACAGATTTTTATTTGGTTTTGAAATATCTTTGTTACAGATGTGAAGAAAGGCACGCCTCCAGTGTTCAAGTACAGCGGAGGACCGCAGAGGCCAAAGGTCGCCTTCAAGTCTTCACAGTCGTCCCCGGCGCTCACCGCCGCCCAGGCCGTGGACAAGGGAACGTCCCAGCTCCGCTCCAGTAGTAACAGTAGCGTGGAGAACAGAGACCCTAGTCAGACCGCGAGTACCGTCAACGAAATCACCAAGAAAGTCAACGAGAGTCTTAGATGGGAGGACCCTTGTGAGGACACGGAAGACGAAGAGGAGAGGTTAAGAATCTACAAGATGAACAGGAGGAAAAGATACCTCGCTGCTGCTCAGAAGATGGGACTGGAGTATGGAAATTCTGTGTACAAGGACGGGACAGACCCCATGCCAAAGAAGAGCGGTTCAAATTTCAGTTTCCAGGAGTTTGACTCGAGTAAAAGCAGTCCCAGTCCTCTTATGGAATCGTTGCGTAAGGATGCCAGTAGCACGGGATTGGTCAACCAGGCTGTATAGGGTTGTAGATTTACATATATAACTACAATAGAAGATTCAGTGTTTTAGCCAGTCTTTCCATCATTTCACAGAATTTGCTGCTCTTGACAGACGAAAATTTTGCCTTATTCATAATCTTTGATGGACAAAAATTGCTGTGTAAAGATATGGAAAGAGATGACATCAACCTAAGGTGAGCTAGTCTTCCAGGAAAATTTGCCCCACAAATGCAGGAAATAGCATTTCAAAATTTCCCAGTGGGAGCATGCCCCTGGACCCCAGTAGAATTGTGCCTTTGGTGCTCAATAACAAAATTGAAATGATGGATAAAAATTTCACTTTCAGGCTGGCTAAAACATAAGAGTGTCCATTTGTTTTAGTGATTGATATCTTTCAATTTTGATGACAGTACCATATATGTATTGGCAGATGGGCAAATACAATGGGCCTGTTTTATTAGTTTGTGCCAACAATAACATTTTAATAAAAGTAGAGTCAATTGTCTGTTATATCTAGCCTGGGACCCAGACTTGCTTGACCAGTTGTCTTCCTCAACTGTAGGAACAGATCCCAGCCTAGCAAGCCTGAATCTGAGGCTAACCTCCCAAATCTACTTCCTCATTTTCATTATTTATTGAACCATGGATTTTAACTCCATGATTGAACCAAAAAAGCCATAACATGTCTTCCATGTGATAACATATACCAAAGATATTTCACTAAGTAATAACAGTATAAAATCACATATTACAATATTAATCTAGAGTGTTTGTTGGATAGTCGACAGACATATTCTAATACAATGGTATTAAGGTTACTATCATCGTCATTAAGGTTATACATATTTTTAAGAGTATTGATAACTGTCTTTGTTCATGACAATCATATCACTGTGTATATTTTGTATGATGTTGCTATAACATTATTTTATATAATGTTGCTATAACATTTGTAATCAGGATCCTGTGTTCTGTAATGTTTATTTCTCCTGTTGAACTGTTGATAAAAAAAGGTTGTCATTTGTTATGTTGAATGGGTTGTCTTTTGTTACATGTACAATGTGCAGAAGTCTTTAGACTACACGCATATAGCCTGTAAGGCCACAATTTAATTTCTTGGTTAACGGATTCGCCGTTAAAAAAAAACAGAATCAACTGCAAAATGCTCAATTTTTGCCCTGAACAGTTGAAAACAGTCCTTTTCTTCGTACTTGTTACAGTTATTCCATCTTCCAATGCAGTATGGTATCATTAAAAGTTCCAAAATCATTGTTTAAATTTTGAACCAGCCTGGTGTGTAGACTCCTATCGTACCATTTGGGGCCATAATAGGATACCTAGCTCTGGTTTTATTTTTTTTTTTCGCCCGCCTGCTGCTCCATTATTTTTCTACAAAAATCCGTTAACCAAGAAATCAAATTGGTGTGGCCTAAAGGTAAAAGATTTTGCCAGGAGCTCAACTTTTGTCACCTGTCAAAGAACTCAAAAGTTTCATTTTTACTTTTAGCAGCAGATCCAGACGTGTACAATATACAGGGCTAAAGATATACACATGCAGGTAAAATTGGAGCATTTATATATATTTCTAAAGTCTACCTGGACCTCACATGCATTGTGAAACTAGCCTAGGGTGACACACATCCAGTAGCATCCACCCCAAGAATGCCTTGTGCTTTTCCGAACCATTATGTATATATGATTACTACACTCAGGAACACCTGCAACCAGATGTCCAAAACGCTTAGGGAGAGGATTAATACCACCTATTCATTAGATTCGTCAAATTAACCCACTCTGGTGCCTTTTGTAATTTCCCACAACTTGTCTGCGTTTTGTTACTAGCACTTTCAACGCTATTTGTTTATGAAGTTTTTACCACATTTTTTGAAGGATTGACATAGCAGGTGACTATCACCTCTTCAAGATGTCAAACTTGAGACCAGACTGTAAGGTTTGAACCACTCACACCGGGAAGGACCCGTGCTCTTTTATTTTCGATAAGTGGTCCCAGGGATTTTAACGTGCTTGAGGTGTGGCTACTTTAGCCTCTACCAGACACCGCGGATCGCTGGAAAAATAGAAGAAATTGGCCGAAAAAGGACCCGTGGGTTGCGAATTGGATCTTCTCTGGACGGCTACCTCCCCTGGTATATTATTCCTTTTTTTTCGGCCAATTTCTACTATTTTTCCAGCGATCTGCGATGCCTGGTAGAGGCTACGGCTACCTTGCAATTAGTTGTCCTTGAATACGTTTTGAAGGTCACAGTTTTACCTACAGGCATTCCTTGATAAATGACACATTACCGACGAAGTCAATGGTATATTTCAGACTTAAGGCAAAAAGAATGATTCTCTGAATCAGCGAACATAGCAAAATGCGTGACTAACTCACTCCTAAACTCAAATTGCATTACGGTAAATGGCATACCGTAAAACTTCATTTCAAATTAATCGTCCGTTCCTAATTCTCTGAGTTGCTAGCTTGAGGAGGCCCGCCATTGTAGGCAGAAACTACCCGGCAACGCATAATCACAGTTGCTATTGAACAACCAAAGAGGCAATTGTCTCAGTCATGATTAGAAGCTAAACTTTCCAAATTGCAGATCTGACCCGGGGATTAGATTTCCTTATGTGCTGTGGTATGTTAGAATCAAATCTTGGCGCACATTGTTGGTGGAAGAGAAAACCGTTTTGCTTGAGTGCCCGTTAATAGTGCAGTGGTCAGCATACAGAGAAACTGACCCCACGGGTCACCACACCGTGGAATATTCAATAGACCGGCGTCTCGAGTTTGCTTTCCTTCTGTGTCAATGGTCTGGAGTGTGATGTAACGTCGCTCTGTGGGTCTTTCTGTAGTTTATTTTCTTAGTGTTTTATGACTGGCTGCGCACGGTGGACAATACGGGCGTGCGGCACACAAGGTTCTACAAATAGAACACTTGTGGCTATTCTAGACTTTGATGAGTGGCCGGCGACAGTTCCCAAAAGCCTAGCCTCCAACAGGCCTAGCCTCCTTCGCAGACTTCTAATGCGATACACGGGAACCGTCTCTCTCCGGCAAAGTCCCTAGCAGCGAAACCTTCACTCCGCGGCATAACTTAGCCTCCCGAAGCCTGGTAGAGGCTAGGCAGAACTCACGTCGCTCCCCGAAAAATATTAACGCCGCGGCATCGATCAGAAGTCTGCGAAGGAGGCTACAACAGGCCTTCCTGCGGGGGTACGGATCGTAGAATTCGGCAAAGAAGGGAGAGTCAGTCCACGGTAACTCTAAGGTGGCTAAACTCCATTGGCCAGATAATTACTCTCCCCATATATTTCAGTATTTGGCTAAATTTTACTGCTTTTGAACCAGCATTGTTAATCTGGTAGCTCACCAAAAGCCAAGCTTCAGTATCGCCGCCCGCTCCTTTAGTTTATACACCCATATTTAGTTACAAGCTGTTGTTTCTCATCTTTTGTCATTGCGTTGTAGTTCTTCTTCGAGTGTAATATTGCCTACATGTATATTCAATAATCTCCAAGCAGATGTCTGGTGGAAAAATCTTTTAACGGTTAGATCTAGAGAGAGTCCTCAGCCACAATGGACGCCCATCTTTTCAATGGACACTGTCTTGCCACCGTAGAATCGGCCTCAACAGTTCAATTTGGTTTGAAATTGCCGACTACATTTTCTGATCATTTATAGCAAGGAGCTTGTTTAAAGTCATATTTCAACAGATCTAGAAGTTGAAGTGATATTTCAGGTCACGAGTTCCTGGTGTGTAATGCACCAGACGTTATTAATTGTCATATAGGAGGCAATTGCATACTTACAAGCGGATAATCCCATAATTACAATATCTTATGAATTAATTACGGAGAAGATGCATGAATAGAGGGCACCGACAACGCGAATGGGACACGAGCGACGAAGATCAACGAAAGTCGCCGAAGGTCACCGAAAGATAACGAGGTTCGACGAAACAACACGACGGATATTTGCCCTGAACATATCTTATATATAGGTATGCAACGGCCTTCCAAAAGATTTGAGTACACATCCCTACATATATACACCTGCGTTTCAGTGTTTGTCTAGCTCTATAAAGAGAAAACAGAGCGGAATCAATGGGTCAATCTAAGGTTAATCTGGGGGATTTAAACCTTTGTCTTCTAACCTTCAAAAAACCCACGAGAAAGGTATATAGGTCGGCTGGAAAAGATCTTTTAATTGAATTATCGTGCGGCCGGCTTCAAGGAAGTTATAAAGTAAATTTTGATCTCATCTGTGTAATGTGTGTGTATTTATAGCAATAAACCTTTTGACGCATTTTGATCATCGTCACTTACATAAAGATATAACCCCTTAATTATAAGTCAATATGTAATTATCATTTTTCTCTATATACTTCCGCCAGATAATCCCTGTTCTTAGTGCTGTCATTGTTGTACGGATCAACGCATTTTCAGAATAGGATTATTAATCTGCATGTGTCGGACTGTTAATTGTTTTCATCGCCGTAACCGGTACCATTCCTATATGTGCTAATTTAGACATGGGCTCTCCAAGTAGAGGTTTGCCATTTCTTCGAATTCATTCGCACATTTTCGTTAACACTTCATACTTGAAGCGTTTAATATAGCCCAAAGACAAGCTACGCAAGGCATCCCATTATTTTTTGGTACCACCCATGAATACCTAGAACCTTAGCCGGAAATCGTAAAGTCGTAATCAGGTCTGAGAATTCAACGTAATTTGTAATCGGCGGCGAACAGTCTGAGTAATCCGTAATCACTACCCCCCCCCCCCCAT